AATTCAAAACTTTATTTCTAAAAAAAATAAAAATGCCCTCGTTACAAATTTAAAAGGTTGAGAAAGCTTTTTACTTACCCAAAGAGTAAATACATATAGGAGAGCAAACTCATCTTAAAATGCTAAAAAGTGAACATCCATTAGCATTCCTCCAACTTTGAAGAGGTGTCATTTTTTTAATTCAAAACTTTATTTCTAAAAAAAATAAAAATGCCCTTGTTACAAATTTAAAAGGTTGAGAAAGCTTTTTACTTACCCAAAGAGTAAATACATATAGGAGAGCAAACTCATCTTAAAATGCTAAAAAGTGAACATCCATTAGCATTCCTCCAACTTTGAAGAGGTGTCATCTTCAGATAGTTGGTATCAAGGTTATTAAGGCTGCCTTAATCATCCACACTTATAGCTCCATTCATCCACCTAGGATGAAGAAAAGTTAGATGTCCAACAACGAAACAAGTGTTCTCGATGGACATCCTGGTTGAATCCCCAAATTTTGTGCTTGAGATGTTGAGTTTATTGCCAATGGTCCTTGGTTTGTTTGCCTAAATAAACTACTGTCTGTTTCTACTTGTTTTTTTTGTAAAGGTGAATCTAAGCTTTCTTTGGGCAGAACAGGATATTGGAGCATAACTTCTGACATTTAAAGTCACTGGTTCTTAGGTGACAAGTTTCAGTGAGAGTGCCCCATGGAAAAAACTGTGTCCGGATGCCACAAGAGGTAATGGGGTAAGTACACTCAAAGAAGTCAGGCAGGATTCTTATAGAGCAGCCAGTCCCTAGACAAAATTCATAAAACTGGAGGAACAGCTCACCTACAAAAGGTACTCTTCTAGTTTTGACATGGAGCCAGAACTCAGAACATTCTATAAGCAAATTTTCATTGGCATAAATTGGCACACAAAACCCAAGGAGCACCCCCAGCAAGACAGTGAGCCTCATGGCTTCAGTTCACAAAGCAGAGGGGAACAGAAAAGCAGATATCATTCTCTTTTTTTATTATAGTGAAATCCCCAAGTCCTTTATGGATTGTTTAAAGATGAAAACTTATTGGGTACTTATCATGTACTCGGATACAGGCTAAGTGCTTTTCAATGTATTGACTCATTTAACCCTCAGAATTACCCTACCTTAATGTTTTATCAAGATGCATATTTCAGAGGGCTGGAGAGAGAGCTCATCGGTTAAGTGCTTGCTGCTCTTTCAGGGAACCCAAGTTTGGGTCTGAGTGTTCATGTTGATCAGCTCACAATTGCTTGTAACTCCAGTTTCAGTGAGTCCAATACCCTCTTCTGGCCTCCATGAGCATTCATGTGCACATACCCACACATAGACACACATATAATTCTTAAAAATATTTTATTATTTTTATTTTATGTGTATGCATGTAGGTGAGTGCATCTGTGTCATGCAATGCCCAGAGGACAGAAGAGGCTGTCGGATCCCCTGGGACTGGAGTTACGGA